GAAAAGTCAAAAGTTTATTGTCTTTAAAGCCTTTCGTATTACCTTCGACACTCAAAATTATTATGTGATAGCGACGTAATTCCTGACTCCATGGACCACATCATCAATTTTTGTAAGAATTAATAAGAGGAAATATATGTATATTTTATATCCAAACTTTGTCTCCCCACCATTTATCCCACCAATTTCGGTTTATGTCTCATTCCCACCACATAAGTTTCAAAATTTATAGTTGAAACAACCGGAGCATCTTCACCGACACAATTTTTAAAATAATGGAAAGTGTCTCGAGCTGAAATAGACCAATGATATCACATTTACGAGTTAAAAAACGACATTATATTATTTTATTCCATAGACTACAAATTTAATTTATGGTTCGAAAAACAGATTCTAGAACACTCTCCTTCTAAACCCTTCAAAAAACGAGGGGCCAAAAGGGTAGCTTTCGTCGCAACAAAAATCTCTTAATCTCCTAAACTCACTCCAATGCAAGTTTTTACTTTCACTCTTTTCCAAAGAAATGAATCATGGTGTACTTAAAAGCCATTGCCCCATATTCTTGGGACCAATCCAAATCAATGATCCATATCCATTCAAGTGTATGGCCAAAACAGCTGCCACGTGTTCCAAAATTGTCTCAACTCCCACCACATGATAACAATCTTTATAAATGGCATCTTCCTTAGATTCTCATTCCAAAACTTTCTCTCAGCCTTTCACAGTGAAGACAGGGAATCTTCAGCAAAGGGACAGCCCAGACAGATCTCTCTAAGCGCTTTCCCATTGACCCAAACTTTGTCATTTTTCTTCGACATGTGCACAGCCCCTTTTAAACAAGCCTTGCCCTACCAATTCTAGCCATGCAGGTAAGCCTTTCAAACACCTTTGTTCGTGAAAGTCTCTGAGAAAATTTGTGTTTTCTTCTGTTAAATCTTAATGGGTATCTGTTTTTTTTTTTTTTTTTTTTTTTTTTTTTTTTTTTTTTTTTTTTTTTTTTTTTTTTTTTTTTTTTTTTTTTTTTTTTT